CTTGAAGTCCTTTGGCTGCCCGGCAGGCAGGCGCTCACCCTCCGGGTAGCACCCCCTGGCGGGCTTGGGGGGCAAGGCTGGTGTTTACCGGTCTGCAGCCTCTTCTTCCTCCCTCTATTCCCCTTCCTTTCCTTTTCCTCCTCCTTCTCCCCCTTTCCTCCTTCCGTTTCCATTTCTCTCTTTCCCTCCTCTTCCTCTTCCCCCAAACCTGTTGCTTCACCTCCTCCTGCCCTTGACACACAGCTGGCCCAGGTCCACTCTGTTTCTGTGCCACCTGCCCCGCAGCGGTGAATACACTCCTGGGGTATGCCCTCTCCCAGTGAGGCACGGCTTCATCCCCATCTAGGTGTGTCTAGGTGTGTAAGTGCCCCCTCTATCCTCGGATCCTTCCTCTGGGTGCCCCCCACGGAGCCAGGTAAGGAACAGGGCCACTCAGCAGGTTTTCTGCAAACACTTCTTTAGGGGCATTTCCACCCCCATCCCGGCGAGGCACCTGCTCCCCTGCCCCCACTAACTGTCCACTCACCCAGTCCACAGGCACCAGGCGGGACCCTGAGGGACACAGTGGTGGACTTGTCAATGGTGAGCTCCTGACCTCATGGAGCACACAATAAAGGGAGGAGATGAGCCACAGTAGACTCACCACAAACAGGGTGGCATGGCATTTCACAGGGGCAAAGGCCAGGGTAAGCCCTCCTGCTTCCCGGGCCTCAGAAGACGCCACTTAGTTTAGTCTGATGTAACAGATGACAGGGTCCTTCTAGCTCTGATGTCCCCGTTTCTTGTAGACTGGTTCTGGCCTGGCACAGAGAGATGCTGTGTGGCTCTCGGAAATTGTTTACCCTCTCTGAACTTCAGTTTCTCCATCTATGCAGAATGTGGGCTTGGAGATGTTGGTTGGTGGGAATCCCAGCAGGGGATGTGCTACATAGAGCAGGCTGCTCAGCCACTCCTGACACACCCATGGCCACACCAGCGGTGGCCTGGATCTCCCCATGTGGGCCTGGGCCCGAGTCCTGGCTCCACCACAAACCCTGACTGGGTCCCAACACTCATGGCTGAGCAGGGGGCTGATGGCCCTTCCTGCTTTGAAGGTCTTCGGATTTGGGGAGCCATGAATCTACATTGCAGCCCCAGAAGAGCCCGGGGAGCAGCAAGGCCCTGGTGGGGAGGGGCCCAGGGGTTGGGTCAAGGTGAGGCTCTGGACTCAGGTCAGACCAGGGCAACAGCGAAAGGAGTAAGACTAGCCAGGGGCCCAGAATTGGCTCCATGCAGGCGGGGAGGCCACCTGGGTTTTCCTGAGCCCTGGGCACTCATGCCAGGCTGCGTGCTCAACACTTCAGCAGAGGATCTCAGAAAGGGTAGGAACTTCTTGTGGCTGGTTATATTTTCCAAAGATAGGCTCAGCAATATATAGCTCATCCCAATTATTCTTTTTTACAGTGTGGCATTGACACTCTTCCAGTTGAGTGACGTGGTCTATGTTCCCTCTCCTTGAACCTGAGCAGACGTTTGTGACTGCCTCAACCAATAGAGGATGGCAGAAGCGACAGTGTGAAGCTAGGTCACAAAAGGCAATATGGCTCTTACAGCTCAGTTTCTCTCTGCCCTCTGTTTCTCTGTGTCTCTCAGTCTCTGTCTCTCTGTCTCTCTCTCAATCCACTCTCCCTTGGGATGCAGCCACCATGTTGGGAGCAAACCCAGGCCTCATGCAGAGGCCACGTGAAGGTGCTCCAGCCAACAACTCCAGCTCCGGTCCCCGCTAAGCCCCGGACATGTGAGAGAAGGAACTTTCATATGATTCAGCCCCTAGCCTTGGAGCTGCCCCAGCTGATGCCAAGTGGAGCAGAAATGAGCTGTCCCAAACTGCAAAATATTGTTGTTCTAAGCCACTAATTTAGGGGGTAGTTTGTTACGCAGCAATGGATAACTGGAATGCTTGTTCAAGGTCATACAGCTTGGAAGCGGCAGGGCTGGGGTTGATTGGAACCCAGGGCCATCCAGCTTCAGAGCCTGTTGTGCTGCACTGTTGGGTGGTGTCCAGCTCAGGCACACAGTGTGTGCCATGTGAAGCTCTACTCCAGAAGGCATGAAGCGTTAAATGATTGTAAGAATTATATATCAGATTGTACAAAATGAAGATGCTGATCACCCAGCGGAAAAACAGTTTATGTTCTCCCATTCAAGTGGCTAAACTGACCAACATGATGGAAACTGAATGGAGAGTAAATCCTAGAAGGCTCCAAAGAGGAGGTGATTTAAAAAAAAATAAAGGTTACATTCCTTATACAAACCACTGGCTGAAGGAGAATTAGAAGAATTAGTAGGGAAACCTGCTTTTGTTGTTGTTGTTGTTTTTGGCCGTACCACGTGGCATGCGGGAAGGATCTTAGTTCCCTGACCAGGGTTCGAACCCGTGCCCTCTGCAGTGGAAGCATGGATTCTTAACCACTGGGCCACCAGGGAAGCCCCAGAACCTGCTTTAAATAGGGTAGTCAGGGAGGCCTCTCTTAGGAGGTGACCTTTAAACTGAGTTATTCAAAGAGCCAGAATAAGAGAATTCCAGGCAGAGAGAACAGCAAGGGCGAAGCCTGAAGGAGGAACAAGCTTGATAGATGTTCAAGGAAGTAAGAAGGTCAGAATGACTGGCACTTGATGGGTGATAGAGGAAGGACAAGACAGAGCAGGACTGGACAGCGGGAACCTCAGCAGCCCTGGGCAGGGCTTTATTGTTTGTTTGTTTTTAAAATATCTTTTATATATATATATTTTAAATTCATTTGTTTATTTTTGGCTCCATTGAGGTTTCGTTGCTGTGCAGCTTTCTCTAGTTGCAGTAAGCGGGGGCTACTCTTTGTTGCAGCGTGCGGGCTTCTCATTGCGGTGGCTTCTCCTCTTGCGGAGCACGGGATCTAGGTGCGCGGGCTTCAGTAGTTGTGGCACACGGGCTCAGTAGTTGTGGCTCGTGGGCTTTAGAACACAGGCTCAGTAGTTGTGGCGCACGGGATTAGTTGCTCTGTGGCATGTGGGATCTTCCCGGACCAGGGCTCGAACCCATGTCCCCTGTATTGGCAGGCAGATTCTTAACCACTGCGCCACCAGGGAAGCCCGGGGCTTTATTGTTGATGCAGTGACAAGCCACCGGGGACTTTGGAGTAAGCAGGGGTGAGATGTAATCTAATTTGTGTTTTAAATAGATCACTCTAGCTGATGGCAAGAAGATGCTAGAAGATGGGTAAAGCGCCTATTGAACCAGCCTCTGAGAGGTAACGGTGGCTTGGATGAGGGTGGAGGCAGTGGAGAGGGAAGAAGAGGGGTAGTTTTGAGATCTGTTCTGGAGCTTTGGTTGGAGGTGAGGAATCAGAGAAATGAAGTCAAGTTCAATTCCCAGGTTACTGGCTTTCGTTACAGGATGAGTGATGGTGCCATTTAACAAGACAGGGAAAACAGCTTAAATGTGGTCGGGGGTAGAGAGACCAGGTTTAGAGGGGGAAATGGAGAGTTCTTTCTGGACCCTATCAGTTTGAGATGTCTGTGGAGACATCCAAGTCATATAGGCAAGAGACCTATGAGTGTGGAGCCCAGGGTAGCAGTTAGTCCGGGGTCATGAAGAGTCATCCGCATTTAGACAATATTTAAATCCATGAGACCAGATAAGGTCACATAGAGAGAGGGTCTACAGAGAGAAGAAAAACCAGGAAGTTAAGAATTCCTGGTTCTACAAAATTGGGTCATTTGTAGAGACATGGATGGACCTAGAGCCTGTCATACAGAGTGAAGTAAGTCAGAAAGAGAAAAACAAATATTGTAGATTAACACATATATGTGGGATCTAGAAAATGGTACAGTTGAACCGGTTTGCAAGGCAGAAATAGAGACACAGATGTAGAGAACAAATGTATGGACACCAAGGGGGGAAAGCTGTCAGGGGGGTGGTGGTGGGATGAATTGGGAGATTGGGATTGACATATATACACTAATATATATAAAATAGATAACAAATAAGAACCTGCTGTATAATAAAATAAAATAAAATATTGAAAATAAATAAAATAAAATAAAGAATTTCTGGCTCTATCACAGATACAGAGAACAAACTAGTGGTTACCAGTGGGGAGAGGGAAGGAGGGAGGGGCAACATAGGGGTAGGGGAGTATGGGGTACAAACTATTCTGTATAAAATAAGCTACAAGGACATATTGTACAATACAGGGAATATAGCCAATTTTTTTTTTTTTGCGGTACGCGGGCCTCTCACTGCTGTGGCCCCTCCCGTTGCGGAGCACAGGCTCTGGACGCGCAGGCTCAGCGGCCATGGCTCACGGGCCCAGCTGCTCCGCTATAGCCAATATTTTATAATAACTATAAGTGGAGTATAACCTTTAAAAATTGTGAATCATTATTCTGTACACCTGTAACTTATATAATGTTTTAATCAAGTATACTTCAATTTAAAAAATAAAATAAAATTTAAAAATTAAAAAAAAAAGATTGATAGCTGTTACCTCTAGGAGTGGATGAGATTGGGAGAGGACAGATGAAGAGGGCCTTTAATAATTGCTCCCAAAACATCTATCATGAATTGCTTGAATCTTATTAAATAAAACTGTATCCATGTATTATTTCTTTCATAAAGTAGAAAATTGAAAAAAAAAAAAGGGAGGGGGGAATTCCTGGTTCTAGAAAGTGGTTAAGAGAGGAGAAGCCAGCCACAAAAGACAGAGAGGGAGTGGCCGATGAGGGCGGAGGGAAATGAAGACAGCGTGTTGTCTGGGAGAATCGCTCTGTCAAGCGGCATAGGAGCTGAAGGAAGGTGAGAGCAGTGTCCCCTTCCTAGGACGACACGGAAGCTGCTGGGGACCTTGCAAGAGCAGGCGTGGTAGGGACAGATGCCAAAGGCAGGGGGTTGAAAAGCGAAGAAGAAGTAGAGGTGGAGTGTAGGGAGAGGAGGATGGAGCAGTCGTGGCGGGGACGGTTGTGTCGAGAGGGGCAGGCGAGAGATGGGTGAGGCCGAGAGAAGCCGGGCAGGAGAAGCGGAGCGCGACAGAGCCAGGGAGGCCCAGGGGACTGGCTTTCGAAAGCAGCAGGGACCCTTCCTCCGTTGTCCTGGAGGGAAGGCGGAAGAGATGGGTGAGATGCAGGTGGGTCTGTCGGGAAGGTGAGGGAGTGACTGATGGCTTCTGTTTTCTCGGTGAAGAATAAAGTTGCCGGCTGAGTGAGCAGCCGAAGGAGATTGGAGCTTGTGTGAGGAGGGCAAAGACATCTGTCACAGCGATCAGAGAAGAAATCAGACCTCTCAGGATGTGTGAAGGGGTATGTCATGCACCCATCCGAGGATCAGAGTGAAGCCAGTCGACTCAGCAAAGCACAGAGCTGAAACTGTGCCGCATATCCAGTTTTATATCCCGCTTTTTTCACTTTACAGAGTAGCAGAAGCATTTCCCCATGCATTTCTGAACTCTTGGCAACCATCACTTTTAATACTTAGAAATAATCCACAGAGGGGATATTCCATGGGTCGCTTAAACTTTTCCCCTTTTACTGGACATTGAAATTGTTTCCTGGCTGTGACCGTTGCAGTTCTCAGAGAGGTGGCCTGTGGTCTGGTGGAGAAAGGACAAGACAGGCTGCAAGGCAGAGCTGGGACATTCAACACGCTGGTGCCTAGAATCTCATCGTGGAAGCTTTTTAGGGGCCAATTACATGGCAACTGGCTTTCCTGCCAGGTCACATTCCTAGACTTAAGGATGAAGAATGGGACAGCAAGGCACATCTCACTGGCCTCCCAAAGTGCCCAAAGGTTCGGGAATTGAGCGTGGAGGAAATAGATTTGGGAGAGGGGCCCTGAGAAAAGGGAAGGCCGGACGTGTGACCCCCGAGCTGTTGACAGCTCAAACACATATAGCAACAGCCATGTTTGAGGTAGCAACAGGGCTCCTCACTTGAATGTTTTCCCCATAATACCAGTCCTTTTGGTATCCCACCTTCCCGGAGCGGGCATTGCCCCAGGAGACCTGGTCATGGGGAGAGGATCTGGGGACCCGAGTCTTTTCCACCAAGGCCAGCAGGAGGGGGTCTCTTTCAGATCTGTGAAGCTGGAGTGAGCCACCCGAGAGAGTGGGCTTACCCACCCAACACGCTGGGGGACCCTTGGTGGGCATATTTTTTCAGGAGTTCCTGCCCTGGCTGGAGGCCGCTTGTTCTGGGACTGGCTGAAGCCCCTTCCAAATTTGAGGTTCTGTGTTTCAACAACAGCATTCACTGAAGCCCCCCCATGAGCCAGGGATAGAGAAGTACCCCACTGACAGTGTGCCTACTGTATGCCAGACGCTGGGCTTCCTGGACATGACCTCACCGCATGGCACGACAGGCCAATGAGGAAAGACTCAGCACCCCGTGTGAGAGCGGGAAACCTGCAAGGCTGCCTCTTCTCACCTCCCAGCCCCGGGCCTCCCCTGCAGCACACGGGGATGGGCGGGGACCCCACGGAAGGACCCTTTCCTAGACACTTGCACCCCTTAAGGAAGCGCCTTATGTGATAGGCTTCAGGCACCACGTGGCACCTAGTAGCTGTGGGTGAGAGGCTCCAGGTTAGAGACAAGGAGCTGAGTAAACCCCACCTCTTTGGGCTGGTGGTGGCAGAACTGGGGGCCTGAGGTGACAAGGTCTTGTTTGTGGGATTTGAGTTTCTGATGGACGACAATGACTGCCAGGCCTTTCCAGCTGGAACCGGAGCAGGCTCGGGGCCAAGGCCTGCCACCCTCTGGGCAGGTATAAGAGCTGGGAGGAGGGCTGGAGCCCGGCTGGGGCAGAGGTGCCAGCTGCCCGCTGGGGGACCAGGGTGCAGAGCTAAAACTGCTTTGTACAGACCACCAGGTGGACAGGGTCAGTTCTGGAAGTGGCCCCTTCTCTGTGGGATCCAGCAGGTGCACTAGGGAAGCCATCGGGCTGGACAGGCTGGAGGAGGTCACCTGAGGCTGAGACTCGGCAGGGTGAGTACATTCTTCCACGGTTCCTGCCTTTCCCTTCTCCACTGAGCTACTCACCCCTGCAAGTGACTGAGTGACTCTCTGCCCCAGAGGTGCCCGGGTGGAGACTGAATGGCTATTTGTCCGGGACTTGAGCCCTGAATCTCGCAAAGGGGCAATGTCGGCGGATAGCCATAGCACTGTCATTTGTCCAGTGCTCAGCAAACACCAGGAACTGTGAACAGGATGATGGAGGTCTGGCTCAGCATCCTAGTTCTTCAGGCATTACCTTCATTTACTCTTACAACAGCCCCATCAGGTAGATAGGTATTAGTATTTTACAGATAGGGAGACTGAAGCACAAAGATGTTAAGTAACTTGCCCAACGTCACACAGCAAGGAAGTGGCAAAAACCAGGATTTAAACTCCCTGACTCCAGAGTCTGTGCTCTTAATGACTGTGTTATCCTATCATGTGGCTGTGGTTAGTCCCTTCTACTTTCTGAGTGGCAGTTTCCTTATCTGCAGTTTAAGGGTGTAAAACATGATGATCAGAACGATATTGTCCTGAGATTCCGGAAAGATATCTGGACATGGGTCAGCCTTAAGCACTGGGAAGCCCTGTTGGAACATTTATCAATAATGTGTGAATGGGGACTGGCCTGGTAGTCCAGTGGTTGGGACTCCGTGCTTCCGGTACAGGGGGCGCAGTTTCGATCCCTGGTCGGGGAACTAAGATCCCACATGCTGCGTGGTGTGTGGGGAAAAAAAAAAAAAAAGAATATGGGGATGCCCTTTGATCCATTATTCAACTTTTGAAATTTATCATAAAGGATCTCATCAGATTTATGAATAAGGAGGTTCATTACAGTTTTGCTTATAATCACAGAAAATTAGAAGCAAACAAAATGTCAGACATTTGAGAAATGATGTACGTCCTGTGATGAAATAATAAGCAGCCATTAAAAATCATGTGTTCAAAGGGTACTGAATGTAACTGGAAATTTTTCATTTGTTAAGTTTGAAAAGCACTTTATAAAATGATACACAGTATGATGTATTTATAAATGTGTGTATATACTTATATATGAAATAAATATAAAAGATGGGAAAAAATACCCTTGGGGTTGAGAGTTTATCTCTGAGAGGTGGAATTATGAATATTTTTGTATTTTTCTTTATTCTTTTCAAATTCCTCAAATTTTCTATAGTAAACATGTATTGCTTTTTTAATTAGAAAAATGACTTTTTTTGTTTTCAATATCTGTTCTTTTGGTCTAGCTTGGCCCCTTTCAAGCTTTGAGAGGAAACTGAATTGCAGGCTGTCAGTCTTGTGAGGGCCTCTGAAATAATCTGGTCTCAGAGAAACCAGAGGGGAAACAGTGTAATATGTTACACGTGGGGAAACATGTAACAGTGCTACAATGTTACATGTGGGGAAACCCAGTTACATGTGGGGAAACCCAGGGGTGCAAGGGACTTATGCAAGGTCATACAGGGAACCAGAGGCCCCAGACCCCCAGTCTAGGGGCTCAGGCATCTGCCCAAAGGCTACAGTCCATGGGCCAGGCTGCCAGAAGGGCAAGGAGGTAGAAGGGAATCACAGCTAGAATCTCCGGCTAACGTGTTAATTGCTAACTACAAGTGTGGCCTTGAATGCCCAGCGTAGCTGACCTCACAGACCCACCCAGTGACATACTGGCCCGGGAATGACAGGTGAATGACAGGTGAGAGGGAGCAAAAGGTAGGCGGATGGGCGTGGAGCCAGCCGGGTGTGCCCCAGGTTTCTCCCTCTCATCTTTAGGCCTCACCAAGCGGTGCTGCCTCCCTCAGCAAGGCTGGGGGCTCGCTTACTGCCCTCAGCTGGGCTCGGACAGAAGAATGAAAGGTCTCCGCTGTCGTTACACTCGGCTGGTAAGGGGCCAGCTTGGGCTGGGGGTTGGTCAGGAAAGGCGGGGAAGAGGGGGTCTGGGCCAGGATTGGATACAGGCTGGTGTCCCCCTTCCAAGCCCCTCCTCAGCTGGCCCAGGGTTCAGAGCAAGGATTCAGGAACCTGGGGCCTTAGCGCCCAGCCCCATGGTCCCAAGACCCTCAGGAAGCACAGGCCACTGTCTCCATCCCTTCCTCCCCGGAGTGGGTGCCAGATGGAGCTCTATCCAGAAGCCCTCCCTAGGCCTGAACCTGGGGAATAGGAAAGCAGTTTCCTGTCCTTCTCTCCTTCTTGAGGAAGTCTGACTTTTTTTTTTTTTTTTCCTTTAATGGAGTACCCCCTGCTGTTTTTTTAAATTAATTCATTCATTAATTAATTTTTGGCTACATTGGGTCTTCGTTGCTGCGTGTGGGCTTTCTCTAGTTGCGGTGAGCAGGGGCTACTCTTCATTGCGGTGCGCGGGCTTCTCACTGAGGTGGCTTCGCGGGCTTCTCACTGTGGTGGCTTCTGTTGCAGAGCGCGGGCTCTAGGCACGCAGGCTCAGTAGTTGTGGCACGTGGGCTTCAGTAGTTGTGGCTCGTGGGCTCTAGATCGCAGGCTCAGTAGTTGTGGCGCACGGGCTTAGTTGCTCTGCGGCATGTGGGATCTTCCTGGACCAGGGCTTGAACCCATGTCCCCTGCATTGGCAGGTGGATTCTTAACCACTGCGCCAGCAGGGAAGTCCTTGAGGAAGTCTCTCCTGATGAAAAGCCCCGAAGTCATTGTGTGCAGGCGTGCATACACACACACACACACACACACACATACACACTCTGGTACAGAGTGGGAGCTCAATGGAGTGAATGAATGACTGAATGAATGAAGACACCACCATACATGCCCACTGACACACACATATATTTACACAATCCCAGCTCACACTCACAAACACATTGACAGGTAACACACGAAGTTGCACTCAACACCTTCTCACACTGATTTGCCTACACAACTCTATTTTAAGCCAACACACCACACACATTCACACAGACAAATGTGCATTTTATATGAATCTGTGAACCTGCACGCTGTCTCACCTATGACTACATGCGTTGTTTCACTGGCTGAAAGGGCCTTCTTTCTTTCTTTGTAAAATGGGCGTAGTAAGAAGCACATTCTCGGGAGTTCCCTGGCACTCCAGTGACTGGGACTCGGCGCTCTCACTGCCGCGGCCCGGGTTCAATCCCTGGTCAGGGAACTGAGATCCCACAAGCCACAGAGTATGTGGCCAAAAGGAAAAAAAAGCAGCACATTCTTCTTAGAATTCTTGGGAAAATTCAGAGAGATCACGCACAGCAAGCATTTCACACAGGCCTAGTCAAGTGTGTGCTGTATATTGTATACGTCAGCCACTACTGTTGTTGTTATTATTATTATCGTTATTTCACGTACAAAGGCACAGCTGCGGCTCCCAGAGCTGGGCTGTCATCTGCCCTTCTCTCCTGCCCACAAGCTTAGAACGCAATCCCTGGCATCCACTCCGGATCCAGAGAAACCAGGCAGACAAACCGCAGGGCCCACGGCCACATCGGATGGGCATGGCTGTCAGGGGCCAGGGAGGGAGCTGGCTGGAGGCGGGGGCAGGGCCTGGTCTGTCGCTGACGCTTGCTTCCTCTGGCTGCGCTCCTGGCTGCAGGGGCCTGGGCTGGGGCGATGAGGTGGCTGAGGCTCTCAGGCTCCGGACATGTGGAAGCTGGTGTCTCCTTGTCCCTCCACTCACCAGGCCTCTTTGTGTCTTCACAGCCCAGCCAGGTGGAGGACGCTCTGTCTGGGGAGGAGGGTGAGGAAAAGGAGGAGGAGACAGCCCCAGCCCCAGCTCGTGCTCCGGAAGATCCAGTGGAGCCCCAGCTGGCAGAAGCCAGCCAGGTTCTGGGAGCCTCGGAGATGAGGCAGGTTCGGGCACAGTCCATGGTACAAAGATTTCAGCCCTGAGCCTGAGGGTCCCACCCTCCTGCCCCACCCCAGACAGGCCCAAGGACACCCAGGGTCACTCCTGCTCTGTCCTCTGCTCACTGTGTCACCTTGGGCAAATCACTTCTCCTCTCTGGGCTTTTCTTCCTTTCTTGTAAAATGACCCAGTAATCCTAGCACCGCCTTCTTCCCTGGGCCAGGAGGTTAAGGATATAGTGAACTAATCTAGTCCTTGGGAATTGATGCCAAAGCTGGGGTGGGGGTGGGAGGATGAGATGGGGGGATTAGGAGGAAGGGTTCAGCGTCTCATCTATTCTCTGGCTGCTGGGGGCCAAGGTGACCCCTCTGACCTGGCTCTGCCACTTACTCCCCATGTGGGCTTCAGGCATGTTGCTTCACCTTCCTGAGCCTCAGCTTCCTCATCTATAAAATGGGAATACTAATCCCTCTCTCTGAGGGCTCCTGCTAGTTGGCGTGAAAGTCCCCTGGAAACAGTAAAGTACTCTGTAACCTGAAAAGCACCATGCTTGGGTGAGTGGTGGCTGTTCAACCTCAGTCCTCCTGGGACACGAAGGATATGGGGCGAGGAGGGTGGGAGGACCGGGAACCCTCACTCACCTCCAGTCCTGTCCCTTAGATCAGCCTCCACCTCCCCCCGAGAGTCGCCGGACACTCCTGGAGTCTGGCCTTTTGCACGTCGAGGGACGGCTTCAGTCTGCGGAGCCTGTACAGGCAGATGGAGGGCCACAGCGGGCCGGTGCTGCTGGTGCTGAGGGACCAGGATGGCCAGGTGAGCCGTGCTGGGAGTGTTAGTGGAAGGGATGCATGTCGATGGGCCCCCGAGGGCCTCTCTATCCCCCAGCTCTGCCCCAGGCTCCACAGGAGCCTCTCTAGGACGGGCCTATGTTACCAAGCCTGAAGGGTGGTGCTGCCAGTGGACCTCCAGCTCCCTTCCAGCGGCAAACTGCAAACTCTTCTTTCCAGATGTTTGGGGCCTTCTCCTCCTCGGCTATTCGACTCAGCAAAGGCTTCTACGGTACTGGCGAGACGTTCCTCTTCTCCTTCTCTCCACAGCTGAAGGTGATGTTCTTAACCTTCCAGGCGGGGAGTGGGATCCACGGCAGGACAAAGAACCCGGGGTCCCAGGGGCCCCCAGCTCCATCCCCCGTGCTGGGTGCCTGGTGTCCTTCCATCTTTCCACAGAGGGAGTACAGCAGGGCAGTGGCAGGCTGAGCATCCCCCTTCATTTAAAAAGTGCTCAGTTCCTGGCAACCACTGACTGGCTTGAGAGGAGGTGTGTCGCTCAGCAGATACAGGCTGGAAAGACGAAACTGGTCCAAGTGCAGGTAGCCCTGTGGGTGTGGGGGTAGGAAGACGAAGACAGACATGCCCAGTGGCTTATATTTTCTTAGGCAGTGTCGGGTAAGGCCATCAGCTAAGGGTGAGGATGGAGAGGAGGGTGTGAAGGTTGAGGGGAGAGGAGGTATGGCAGGAGTAGAAAGGGAAGCTGCTGGAGAAAACTGGAGAAACAGAAGGGCAGCTAGGCAGGGCTGACTGGAGGTCCGAGACTGCGAATGCAAAGGCCACTTACTTCGGTGTGTGCTCTTCTCTAGCAAAATTCAGCTCCTCAGGTTCAAGCACGGAGAGCGCGATGGGAGGGTTCAACCACGACTGGGGTTTTGCCAAGCTGCTTTACTAGAGGGAGACAGGGAAAAGGGAGCTGAATGGAGTGGAAACACAAAATAGATGAAGCACTAGTTGCAGGTGCATTGGTTTGCCATTAGAAACCCCTGTCCCATGCACAGAGCAAGACACCTACAGATACATGCAACAACATAGGCATTTGGTTGCATGACAAGGAGGTCACAAGCTTGGACTGACTGCCTTGCCGTAGGCAAAACACACCATATCTGCTGTGTTGCCTCCATCGCCAGCCTGGAAATCTTATCAGGGAAGAGGAGAGGGGACAGTTGTTTACAATAAACCCATGCTGGATATTAGTCCCCACCGCTGGCCTTCCAGGGTTCACATACTAGAATCCTCAAGTTGTACAAGGTTCCTCCTACTGCTCCGACAGTTCCTTGGCAGAATCCTTTGCTGGTTCCTCCTCATCTCCCCAACCTTTTAACATCATGGGGTCCTCAAGCTCAGGTTTTGGTTGTCATCTCTTCTCTGACTATCCTCTTTTCCTTCGAGGTCTCGTCCATTCTCACAGCTTTCCATGCCATCCAGGTGCTGATGGCCTCTCCCCCAGACTCCACACTCACATACATCCAACCATTACCCAGTGTCTCCAGTTGGATCTAAATGGCATTTCAAGCCTCACACGTTCAAAGCTGAGCCCCTGACTTTCTCCCAGAAAATCGGTTCCCCCTGACATCTTCCCTGACAAAGTTAACGGCACCTCTATCTTTTCTGCCGTCGAGACCAAAAATTTTGGAGCCCTTCTTAACGCCTCTTTCACACCCTACATCTGAGCTGTCAATGAATCCTGATGGCTCTTCCTTCTCTTTCTATCGCTATCCAGAATCCACCACTTCTCACCATGTCCTTTGCTGTCACCCTGGTTCAAGCCACCATCATTACTTGCCTGTGTTCCTGCTATAGCCTCCTAATGCTTCCACCTTCAGTCATCACAGTACCTGGAGTGAGCCTTTTAAAAGGTAAGTCAGGGCACGTCACTCCTGGGCTCCAAGCTGCCGATGGCTTCCTTTCTCCCTCAGAGAAAAGCCAAAGTCTTTACAATAACCTACAAGTCCCTACGTCTCTTGGCCTCTCTCTGATGTCATTTCCTGCTACTTTCCCTCTCCTGCACTCTGCTGTAGCCACACAGACCTGTCGGTTTGTTCTTAAACAGGCAGGCCCGTTCCTACCTCAGGGCCTTTGCACACACTGCTCTACCTAGTGTGCCCTCCACAGGATCTCCATGTGGGTCGGTTCTCACTTCCTTCAGGATGCTGCTCAGATGTCACCCTCTCAGCAAGGCCCTCCCTGGCCGCCTGCTTTAAATTTGTAACACTCCAGCCCCTAGAAATTCTTATAGCCCTTCTCTACTTCTTTCCCCTTAGCTTTTGTCGCCACCTAATATACCATTTATTTTACTGATTTACCCGCCTCCTGCCGCTAGAGTGGGAATTCCAGGAGGCAGGAATTTTTGTCTGTTATGTTTGCTGTTCTCTCCAGTGACTAAACAGTGCCTGGTGCTAAGTGCCAAAAAAATTCTTCAAAAGAACTTATGATTGTTTTCAGGGGATCACTATAGTCTTCCCAGGATACTGTTATGGAATCTCATCCTTTCAAAAATTGGTTAATTTTTGCCCATCTTTGGTCTTCTGGCACCTCTTGTGTTCTGCATGAATTCCCAGCTGTTCCTTTACTGCTCTTCCAAGAAGCACCATGAACGTGGCCTTAATTTTTTCTGCAGCAATGTTTATCTTCCTCCTTCAAGTCTGAAGGTCATGTTCCTTGAGGAAAGTGGAGGAGGAGCTGAATGGTTCTGTCTTCTCGTGGCCACTTGTTAATATTATCTCACCTGTTCTGAGCCCAGGGCTTATCTTTTATTAGTCTATTTTCTTGCTTAACACCCTTTGGCTGCTCAGAGCATTTTTGGCAATAATTACAGGCAATAATATGCTATACTTTTGCAGCCTTTTAAAAATCTTTTTATTAGCTAAATTGACCCTTGAATAATTTGTTTATTCAACAAACATCTATACCATGTCTCAGGAATACTGCCGGAATCAAGGCAGCCATCACAGAGCTTACCTGTTAGCTGGGCAGGCAGTGGCATATTGCCACATGAACAGAGCCTGGGAGGAAGGGCTACTTTCATTTCCTCTGGGATGACATTTGGGCTGAAAGATGAGAAGTGGGCCATTTGAGGATCTGGGGGAAGAGCATCCTGGGCAGAGGGGTCAGCAAGCATGAAGATCCTAGAGCAGCAATAGCTTCAGGTGTCCCAGGGACAGAAGGGCCAGGGTAGATGAAGTGCAGTTGTTAAGGGGGAAAAGAGGTCAGAGAGAAAATCGGGGGCACAGCAGGCTGGGCTTTCGGCTGTTGTAAGCGGTTGGATTTTATTTCCAGGGCCTTTGTAGGGCTTTAGCAGAGGAGGGCTAATATCCGATTGGATTTTGAATAGGTCACTGACCGCAGTGCAGACATGGGCTCTGGGCAGGAGACAGTGGAAGCTGAGACCCATTAGGAGGCTGTGATCCAGGGAGGAGTGACTGGCGGGGTCGGATGGGACAGAAATGGCGGTAGTCAGGGTGTCTCTTTGGGGTGGGGCCCACAACACTTGCTGAGGAACTCGGTGTGAGGCAGCACTGGGGAGTGTGCAGGCTTGGTGTTGCCTCCAGCGAAGGGAGCAAACAGTTAGTAAGGGTAGAATCAGGGCCCTGCTCCTGACCTGGACTTTCCGCCTCCTCTCTCCAGCTTTGGACGCAGGAAGCCTCAGAGGGTTCTGGTCTATTCCTAGAACAGAAGGGCTTTGGGGCTGTGGGAATTCAGACTGGAGGGCAAGAGGAGATGAACTCCAGGGAGACTGGAGCCCAGAGTAGTTCCTGAGCCTTCGTTGGGGCCTGGAGGTTCTGTTTCCTCCACAACGCTGCCGCCCAGTGGTGTAGAGTCAAAGTGCAAGGGCAGGACTCACCCAGTAACCGCAGGTTTCTCCTATCATCACAGGTCTTCAAGTGGACGGGAAACAACTCTTTCTTCGTGAAAGGAGACTTGGATTCACTGATGATGGGCTGTGGCAGGTGCGTGTCTCAGTCCTCCCCGAGTCTCGAGTGTCGGGGTGGTCTGTGCTCGGATCCCTTCTCCCGTCCGGAAATGCTGAGCTAGGCTGCCCCCGACAAGATGGGGAGGCTGCTGGTTAACCTTCAAGCCTCTCCCTTCAGCAGCGCCTGGGGCCTGCTCAGGCCACTAGCCAACCCCCTAAACCCTGCTCTAAGTCAATATTGAGAGGAGAGGGTGGCGTGAACTCTCCCCCGAAGTGTTACGTTGGTGACAGCTTAGGCTGAATTTATGTGTAACTTTGGAAACAGCATTCCCTATGGTTGGATGAAGCTAGATTCAGGGGATGGGCAAGCCTCAGATTTACCTGTCAGCTCCATGACTGTAGGAACATAACTCACTGGAGGAAGGCAGGCATCTGCCTGGAACCCGGCATGCGTGCGTGCGTGCGTGCGTGTGTACGCGCGCGCGCGCCTCTTGGGGGTGGGAGATGGAGTGCGTTAGGAAGACAAGGTTAGTCTCGCCTCTGGTATGACCTGCAAGTTCAGGCAGAATAACTCTTATCCTGAGGGTACAGATGAAAGCATTGCTTGCTTAGTACCAGGCAAGTTCTTTGCTCTCCCAACTGCCTGAAAAGCCTCCACCGAGAGGCAGATTGACACAGAACGCACCAGCCATGGCTGATTTGCAGTAAGCCACTTCCCAGCTCCAGCCTAGGTTTGCTGTCAAACGAGGGGATTAGGATGGACGCCCTCTGACGTGTCTTGGGCTCAGACTCCACGCTTGCGCGAGTCCCTCCTTTGGTTAAGCATTGCCATCTTTAACGCTCTGAATGTTCTAAAACTGGATTGTGGTGATGGCTGCACCACTGCATATATTTATCAAAATCACTGAACTGTAAAAACCAAAAACGCTCCAAACCCCGTGGGGAACAACATGCGAGCCCCTAACAATCAGGATAAATTGGTTTAAGGGGAGCTGAGACAAAGGTGAAGTGAGGCTGCGGTCGCGGTGTAGCCAAGCACCGCTGGTGCAGGTCCGAAAGGTGTCAGCACCCAGGACGGAGCGATGCCAAGACTCTCCTCTCTCTTTAGTGGCCACTTTGGGCTGTGGTTGGATGGAGACTTGTATCACGGGGGGAGCCACCCCTGTGCAACCTTCAACAACGAGGTGCTGGCCCGGCAGGAGCAGTTCTGCATCAAGGAGCTAGAGGCCTGGGTCCTGAGCTGATGCCCCGGTGGGCAGCTTCCTGGGGCAACAGGGGCTTGGATCTGCCTCCGGATGCTGACGAGGCCTCCGTCACCCTGGGCAGTCCATTCTGTCCGAAACACAGATGGCGAAGTGTCCCAGTGTGGACTGTGGCTCTGAGCCAGCCTCCCGTCGCCAGAGGACCAAGACAGGCATGGGCACAGCCCATGTTCTCCTGGAGAGGGGACTTTGAAGGAGTGAAAGCACTTATACCTCACCCGAGCAGCACAAAGTCCCTCAGGAAAATGATCTTTTTAGAGAGTATACAGTTAATACATGTTTAGTGTAGAAAAACCAGAAGATATAAAAGAATTAAAGTTGCCTAAAATTCAACCACCCCCCAAAACACTAACATTTCATGTATATCCTTCCAGACAATTTTCCAAGGAGATATATATCTTACAAAATGGGATTCTACTCTATATGTGTTGGACATTATTCTAACTTAAAGAATATTGTCAAGCCACAGACACCAGGACTCAACCAGTGAAATTAATAAAGACTCCAGTAGCATCCTTCTTTTCCCAGAACACTGAGGGCTTTCTGTCTGCCACCAGTGTGCCACCGGGTGCTTGCAAATCTCTTATTTAATTCCACGAGGAAAATATGAAAGCAGCAAATGAACAATATGCATATTTGGGTAAAGCATTTGAAATTCTGTAGATGGGAACCTCAGGGAGGTTAAAAAGGAGGAAGGATATGTTTTCTGGCAAAACAGGAGCTCAGAAAAACTAAAAAAAAAAGAAATCCATATCCCTCCCCATGCTAGTGCCTGTCTCCTTCCAGAAGATTCTTTATCAGGCCATTACTTGTCATTACTGAATGAGGAAAACCAAGTAACATAGGCCCTGTTAATATTATCCCCTCTCGAAGACCCAACACAGTGCTGAGGTATAAAGAAACATCTGGGCGCATTCCTAGACCAAACACAGTTCTTTTGCACAAAAGGGTCAAAAGTGGGCACACAAGTGTGAGAGAAAGTCGTCAAGGAAGACACGGTTGGTTTCAAGACAGAGATACATTCATGAGGTTTTATTGCAGCTGTTTCCCTCACCCAGATGAAATAACCAGCCACTTGAACCTGCAGTTCTATTTACATTCTCAATGTGACCATGCGCAGTAACTCCAGAGGCCAAGCTGTTAAAGTCTCCGTTTTTATACAAATAGTGAAGATGTTTCTTAAGAAAAGTTTAACCTTGTCAGTGGCACATGGTTCCCATAATTAAAACAGTTGCAAAGAGCATAAAGTGCAGCTGCCTGGTATGTAACAAAAGATGCAAACAAAACAGATTCAAGTTGTTTCTCAGAGAGCACAGCGATACAACACTGAGACCACAAAACTGCAGGGTAAAACAATGATTTAAAGGCAGGAGGTGCAAAAATAAAACAATCTTGGCAGAGAAACATTACATTCTTGACCTTGGGTCCGGGCACATGGAGTCTGGGACGGATGCTTCTCCCTGCTGAACATTTCAGAGGCACCTTGGTTAAAATGGACATGACCCAGTACCACGGACCACTTTCCTTGTGCTTCTATGAGCCCATGTGTGACCACATCCCCACCACACAGCACCGTGGTGGGAGAGGAGAAGGGTTCTAACTACTCTATGAATTAGGGTCAACTCTTTAGCTACTGAGGGATGGGGGAGGGGTGATAGTGCACAGCGGCAGACATTCCAAACACCTGCCACCCTAGTGTCTACAGCAGAGAGCCTGGTTACACAGTGGAAGGTGCAGCACTCCTAAGGCCCTGGGGATAATCCGCTGGCCTGTGGTCTGAGTTCCTCCCCACTCCCTCTTGCTCTTGTCCAGGGCCAGGGCTGGCTCCCCAGGCCCAGGCTGCCAGGGAGTGTCAGGCTTTTGTAAGGGAGCGTCGAAGCACAAGATGTTAGGGGCTCATGACTACACTCCCCACTGCCCTGCCTCTGGCAGCCACCAGCTTTGGCTCTAACTCCAGACTTTGCTCTTGGTGAATTTCTGTAGCACTGGGGATGTGCATATGGGAGGAGAGCCCTCAGTTCAGGAGCGCTGCTCAACCACAGTGGTGTAGAGACACAGAGTGGAACCTGGAGTTCACTGGGCAATCACTTCATCTCTGCACGGGCAGCTACCAGCAAAAATGAAGTCCCAGCTCTGAGGAGCCCTGAGGATGGACGGTTCCTGTCATGACCTCTGATCAGCACCCAAGCAAGATGCAGAGAGCAGGTGGGAGGGAAGCTGCCTTCTCCAGGCTGGGCAATGGCAGAACCCTCAGGGCTCGGGCAGTGAGCACTCAGGAAAGAAACCAACACGGGCTAGAGCCACAGCTGACCCAGAGAACAGCTTGGTTTGGGGGATCCCTCTGCCACTGGGGCTAGGGGTCTCCTATAAGGTAGTTTTATGCCCCACTTCAGAGGAGGCCAGAGCCCTCAGATCTTTTCAGCAAATCAATCAGGCCTGTCATCAAAACGCTGGAGCCCCTCCTGGCCCTCATCTACTGTTGATCCCACATGGCAGCTTACACGGGGCTAAAAGGGTGAGGGTAGGTGCCTTTCACTAATATTCCAGTCACTCAAGGAGAGCTCTCTTCAAATCTGGGGTGATGGGCGTCTCCTCAGGGGCGCAGGATTTTACATTTTGCTTTTAACTGTGGCTGTTCGTGACAATCCCAAATGCAAATTCCAGTGTGCACCTTTGTCTAATTTCCAAATTTTTTAAAAAACAATCATATGTCCTAAGAGTTCAAAGTACATAAAAGAGCAGTTATTCTAAGAAAACAGGCTGCTAAAGAAGAAAGGCTTTGATTAATATTAAAAATAGGCAAGGCAGTGCTTTCCACAGCTCATGTAATAAAGTTTGCCTAATACCTGTTCCTCTAAATAGAAATGACTTAGCATGTGCGTACATTCAAAATATAAAATAAAAAGCACTAGTTGTCAATACATTAGTAGAACTCTGTAATCAAATTCCCTAAATTAATTGTGTTGGGGGGAGGACGGAGACGCTTTTTGTAAACAACTGATTGCAGACATTCACACTGAGTCATCTGGAAAAAGCTGGACTCTGAATTTGGATGCTTCTCGGGTGTGAGCTGGACTCTGGGCTGGATCTGTGTAATTCCACTCCAATTTTCGAGGTGTTATAAGTGGAGCTACAATATCACCATCCTGTCAAAGAGAGAGAAACTAGAAATAGAGAAAAGCCAGTTTTCATGGTTTTAAGCGAAGGCCTCAGGTACACATATCTTTGTCCTGCAGACAGATTGCTTCTGGACAGACTTACTCTTGGGAAACCCCAGATTGTATATATGCTCAGTGTGTGGGCTGAATTAGAAACACCACGGTCCTAGCAAGGGAAGAGCCCTCAGAGCAAAAGCCACCAGACCTATTCTTTTCACATGGCTAGGTTTTACGGCCCTCTCCCTTCACACACTTCCACGGAACACACTCTGTCCTGGTTTTCCAGGAGAAAGAGGGCCTGCACTGGACCCCTGCTCCTCTCTTTCCTAGTCTCCCCTGTAATAAGCATCCCAGGTCTGTAAGACGGCAAAGGGGGGAAGGACAGCATGCGCCTGCAGAACTTGAGCTTTGCTCCACAATCAAGGCTGTAACTTTGGCCCCATCAGCACTGACTCCACCCAAAACAAGGGATGGTGTCAAAGTGAAGTGACACTACGACTTGAAAACAAAGAGTGTGAGAAGCTAGGCCCTCTAACACCTGACTCTATCCTGAATCGTTCTTGAACTTGTGGATGGATTCTCAAGGTTATATGAGGGTACAGGATCTGTGAGAGCCTTTATTGCACTAGGAAGAGAACGCTTGTGATAGAATATCGTGGCCTTCACTTGCCTACTTGCTCTCAGATCCACTCTTCGCCTCCCTCTGCTGTGCTGTGTAACAGGAGCTGCTCTTGTGAACTACGTTTCCCAGCTTCCGTGTCTACTGGCCTCCAGTCAGGTTTGGCCGATGGGAGGCACTGGTGGGAGGCTGGAAGAGAGGGGGGCAGAGAAGCCAGGGTGTCTCTCCCCTAACCCCTCTGGCTGGGTACAGTGGCTGTGATTCTGCTGTGGTTCTAGCTTCTGCAGGTGGCCCAGCACCTGGACTCCCACCTCCTACCCTAGAGGTGGCAGCAGCTCCCTCCTGTTGTCTCACTGTCCTGTTTGCCCATTTAGCTCTTCTAAAGCTTTCGGATCTCCTGCCCCGTATCACATTTCTTCTGCTGACCTATGCTGGATCCGACTTGATAGAGCTATTATTAAAAGCAGCCACACTATTGCCATGACACTCATATTCGGAAGACCCGTACCTCAAGTCAACATGATTTGTTTTCAAACTCGTCTCTATTTCTACCAAACATCCTTATCTCTACCCGTTCTAATTTCAACTCTAGTGAATTTTATGAACGCCGACTTGACTATGTCACTTTCCTGCTTACACACCCCAGTGGCTCCCACTGCTCTGGTGCTCTTGGCTTACAGCACTGTGCACAGTTCCCCGCCCCCATCCCTAAATGCACCCTGTTCTCTCTCACCTTCCGGCCTCCCCCCCACCCCCCTTCACCCAGCTGACTCCTCACCCATTCTTCAGGTCTCAGCTTCCAAGTCCCTCTTTAAATAAGCCTTCCCCAACCAACCAGACTTAAACCCGGCTCCTTTTTGCTCCTCAAAGACTGTCCACACTGCCCCTGACCCCAAAGCACTTACCACACCATTGTGACTGTTATTTACTCATGTGTCTGTTATCCCCAAATAGAGCGAAACCTGTGGGAACTGTCTCAGGTACCGTTCCATCCCTGGCCCCTAACATAGGGCCTGGTGAAAACACTCATTCCCTGACTGAATGTATCTGGATTTAAGGTCACTATCACCACATGGCTGAACTTGAATAGCCTCTTGTCTCTCTGCTTCCAGTCTCTCCACGTTCCAATCCATCTGCTGCTAGAGTTTTCCTTCTTCATCAGGGGTTTAGTCTCCTTAGGAGCTACAGTACATAAGACAGACACA